ATAATATAAATTTTATTAATAAAATACATATAAATATATAATATAATAATATGTTAGAATAATATTCTATTATATTATAACATATTAATAATATTATGTATTTATACTGTGCATAGTGAATAGTAATCAATAAAAAAAGTTATGAAATATTAAGTTCCTACTCCCCCTAGAAACTTAATCTTTCACTTTTTAACAAAAGAATGGGAATTTTTTGTTGAAAGATTAGTTTCTGAACTTTTTATGAAAAGTGTAAAACAAACACGGAACTTTTTCAAAATATGAATGAATAGTTTCTAAAAAAATATTTTCATAAAAAACAAACTCACCCTAGAAGAAGTTGTTTTGGTGCCCAAATTTCTTCAAGTTGATCATCTCAATATCAAGATGCATGGATGTGAGAAAAATATACATTTCAAGTTTTGGAAATAGCGCATCTTGTAACTCATTTTTGGATCGTTAAGTTTTAAGATTTTCAAAATTTTATAGATGTACTCGACCTACATTATATTTAAGCTTTAAATTTTATAATTAGATATTAAAATATATTTTAAAGCTATATCACAAAGATTTTTACTATTAAAATCACATTTTTCGATACTATTTGAAGGTAGGCTCTAATTTGAGTGTTTAGAGCCTCGTCTCTATACGAACCGCATTCCTCGGTGGTGACACCGAACCATCACGAAAGTGCTCTTTATTCTCTCTCTAATTAATATCTCTCTCTCTAATCTCTCACTTTTCCCTTACTTTCTACTCTCTCTCTCTTCCTTTTTATTTTATTGCCAACACCAAACTATCACAAACCTTGGGTTTCGCATTTTCATCTTTAAAAAATAAATATTTTCACGGCCCAAGGCCTTATAATTTTGAAATAGAGTCTTTGTATTTTACGACGAATAGCCTTATTTCACTTTAGAGAAATGCCTTTTTTACATAAAAACTTAGGGTTTAAAGGTTTATTTTTCTTGAATGTTATGGTCTTAGGGCTTATTTTATTCTGAGTTTTAGGGTTTATGTTTTCAAAACTTTGGGGTTTTAGCGTTTATTTTTCTTGAATGTTAGGGTCATAGGGCTTATTTTATTCTGAGTTGAGGGTTGGTTTTTTTTTTAAGTGTTTGGGTTTTAGGTTTTTTTTTTTAATGGATGTTAGGGTTTCAGGGTTTATTTTATTAGCTCTATGTGACAAGAAGGTTTAATAATTTTTTACTAAGGAGACCAGCTCAGTGGAGGGGGTGTTTATTAAATTTGAGCCTAGGAGTTTGTTGTGTATATTTCTATTGATCCTATGATTCAATAAGAATTTAATTGTATTGATACCAGTGTCACATTGTCCCTTTTCTTGGTCCTGTGAGTGCCATGGCCCCTGGCTAACTTTCTAATGGGCCTACCACCTTTGTGCCCTAATTCTTATCCCAATTATGGTCATGTCTGTGGAATGGCTGGTCAAAATGCAGGGTCGCCTCGAGAGCAGGGGCTCGAGGCCCCTGCGTGCGGACCGACGGCTAGGTCGCCTTACGGGGAACAACAACAGGTGTTGATCATAGGGTGGCATGGGGCTATGAGGTAGGGGAAGATCTAGATCACCAAATGGGTCGTGACACTTGCCCAGATTTGGGGATTTTTTTTTTTTTTTGTACCGGGTGCGACTGTTCCACTTGTCCATCTTTAAAAGTCGCACGCGCATGTGTCGACGACACGTTGGCCGATCGAGCATGCGGATCACCTTTGCCAAAGACCATGTGTTGCTCTAATGATGGTTTGCTTACCCTAATTTTTTTATAATTAGGCCCTAGCTTAGACTTTCTCCGGTGTGTTCCCCTTGTTGCATAAACATCTGCATGTTAGTTAGATTCATGTGACGCCCGGGTGTATGTAAAATGCAAAAAAATTTATAATATGGATTCCTTTTTCAAGTCCACTGTCGTCCTTGTGTGCATCCCATCATTGGACAAAATGAGACTATCAGACTAGATGAATCGCCACGTGTCAAATCAACCACGTGTCAGATCGATACGTGCCCCAATTGTTGTGCATACAACAAATTGTGTCCTAGTTTCCATTAGAGAAAAGTTTATATAGAGCCAGGTTCTAAACAATCAAATTTGTACATCAAAAATTTCATTGGAAGAGGTTATTTAGATGCCCGAATATCTTCAAATTGATCATCTCGACATCAAGATGCATGGACATGAGAAAAAACTAGATTTCAAGTTTTAGAAATAGTGCATCTTGTAAGGTGTTTTTGGACTGTCAATTTTCAAGATTTTAAAGTTTCCATAGATATGTCGATCTACACTATTTTTTAAGCTTTAACCTTATAAATAAATATTAAAATATATTTTAAGGCTATCACTAAAATTTCTAGTATTGAAACTACAATTATGGACACTATTTGAAGGTAGGCTTTAATTTGATTGTTTAGAGCCTAGGCTCTATACAAATCGCGCCCGTTTGGTTATTATAGGAAATTAACGTATACTACCTCTTGTTCACAGATATTTAAAAAACGGGAAAAGTTTATATAAGGTTGCAGACTTAAAATGTAGAATCCTAGATACACCTCATAAACCTATCAGAAATGTTGTTTTAATGATGAAAAACCCTCTAATTAACCATCTCAATATCGAGATATATGAATATAAAAAAAAAAAAGTTTTTGAGTCTCAAAAATAGTGCATATTGCAACACATTATTTAGATTGTCCATTTTCAAGATTTTCATATATTAATAGATCTACTTTATTTTAATCATTTTTAAAATTTAAAATTTTCTAACTAGAGATTAAAATAGATTTTAAGATAATCCTAACAATTTTTTACAACAAAATTATATGTTATGATAAACTTTCGAGGTGCACCTTAATTGGATTATTTAAGGCTGCAACCTCATAGAAACCACACCCTTTTTTACCCTTTTTTAAAGGGTGCGGTTTCTATAAGGTTACAATTTTAAACAATCCAAACAAGGCCTACCTCCAAATTTTATCATAACATGTAATTTTGATGTAAAAAATTATTAGGATTATCTGAAAATCTATTTTCATATCTGATTATAAAGTTTTAAACTCAAAAAATTATTAAAATCAAGTAGAT